CCCTAAGAGAAACTTCGAAATAGTGTTTAACAATATAACTCAGTGTTTTCCAAACTGTGGGGCGCGCCCACTGAGAGCGGCCCTTTGACGGGAGAGTCCAAAAATAACGACCGAAGGAACAGAAGATGATGGAGACGACGATAACCTCACAAACTATCACTTTCCTCTCAAAGCTTTTTTTTTATTATTTTTTGCACTCGCATTTAGTCACTTCTTACAAGTATTTTTTTCATTAAGAAAATTATTAAAATCAGCTAAAGAAATGTTGTTTTTGCTGTTATCACTTGTGAAAATCATTTTAATATGAAGTGGGGGAGGGGGACAACAGAAACTTTGCTGAGTTGAGGGGAAGCCGCTGTTTAAAGTATAGGAAACTATGTTATAACTTCAATAAAAGTGTAGTTGTATCGATTTTAACCAATCACAGTTGCTCAGCCTCGGTTGTCTTCGTAGGTGAAGTCTTAAGCTAGTGATCCAAACACGCTATGAAAAGTTTTTTTTTTATCCGCGGCTCATGGAATAGCTCTGAGTTTTCAAGTAAAAACTTTTAGCTCATAGTTCCGTCATCTCTTAACCGATTTGAGATCTAATTACAGTTTTGGACTCAGGAGGTCAAACCCTCTCGATTAATATATTTGACCACGCCCAAAGTCTCAGATTAATTTACTCTAATCCTGCCTAAAATAATTTCAATTTGAGGATAGGCTAGAAGAGATCCTGATGAGTAATAAAATCGAATCGGATATACGTGCGCCCCACGCTAGGTATTGCTGGCGCACAAAAATATGGCTAATAAAAAGGAAAAAAAAATAAAAGGTCTCACATATTAATTTACTCTAATCATGCCTAAAAGAATTTTAAGTGCCGCAGCTATTGTGGATTCCTTATTATTGTTCTTGTTTTTTTCTGTTCGATATGGCTTTCGGTTCAATTCATGAAACAATTCATACAACGGGTGCATCGAGTCGGGCATTTTAGAGTTAAAGCCCTCGGGACCCCTAACTATTTAAATTTATGTGGTTCACAGAACCCTACACTGATACCTGATCAGGCAAGTTCCTCAGGTTGCAATCTCTTATATGAAAAATTACATGTTTCCCCAGCAAGTAATACATTAACTAGTTCTGTGTCATCTACCTCCTTCTCCCAGATATCCTGATTTATCACCCATAAAGTTTACCCAGTAATGAGATCGTCATTACTTATGTGGTTCTTGTGGAAATTCAGTAAATTGGCAAGTTCTCAACATGTGGTGGGCAAATTCACCTGTTTTACTATGTTGCTGCCCCACATTATGGTAATGGATACTCCTGCGGAATTAAAATCCAATACACAGTCATGTTTTCTGAATTCTTAAACTTCACACATGATTTCAGTGATACACGCAAGTGGTGAACTTTCTACACTACAAGTAATAGCAGTTTGACAAATACTAAAAATGCAAGAAGTTCTTTCTTCGTTGTGCAGTATTGTCACTTAAAAAACATAGTTAAACAACAAGCTTAAGCGCGCCCTCTGTCACCTGTGACAACACCATACCAATTCCACTGGCACTGGCGTCAGTATACAAAATGAATAAACAATCTTGTTGAGGATAATCCGACACCAAATTTCCAAGCATCTGAGCAGTTGATACACTTTGTCATAATTTTTCGTTCAACCCAAAATACAAGTCATCTATAATCAGATCCGATAAAGGCGTTGCCTATCTTAGGAGGTTAGCCACATACCATAGAAAATGTAATAAAAAAATCTAGAAGGCTGTAAATATTTAAACAAATGTGGGACCAATCCTTTGATCTTCACAGCATCAGTAGACATTTTGCTCTAGCCTAAAATGTGACCAAGAAAGTTTACCTGAATACATATAAACACATGCTTTCCTGATTTTAGTTTCAAACATGCGTTTTTTATCTGCTGAAACATAAGTCTCAGGTTCTGCCCAGCAGACTGAAAGTGTAATTAAATACTAAACATCTCTCCCACTGCAGTCTTTTCACTACTAACTCCATCAATCTCTTAAGTTCCGGTACATTATATATGGCAAATGGCAAGACAATAAATGGACAAAAGCCGTCCAGAGTGCCGAAGGTAGTCTTTGATCTACTCTTATCAACCATTTCAAGTTATCTGTAGCTAGCTGTGACATCTAGCATATTTGACGAATATGTAATTTCCATTGTGTCCAGACGTTTGTCTGTTCATGGTTTGTAACTACACTTAATTGTCTGAAGCCAGAATAGAATCTTGGCATGCCGTCCTTCTTTCTCATAATAAATACTGGAGTTCACAAAACACCCTTTAAAGGTTGTACTTTTCCAGCTTTCGTAATTTACTCTATCTCAGTTCTGGCCACATCCCCTGCGCTGCACAACACCCTGCACACTGGCTATTTTATTGAACTCGTGTGTGTCTGGGTGATGATTTTGCCTAGTTAATTTACCATAAATGTTGACGGAGTTATCTGTTTAAAGTCACCATCACTTGACTGTGAAAGCAGATACACATGCCAATTCTTGACTGTCAAGTTGCTAAGATGTGCATGACATCAAAGGTGCCAGTTCTTCTTGGTGCTTTATAGCACCATCATTCTTATGAATGTGGTTCTTATGCATAAGATCAGAAGTGTAATAAATCACAGCTGAATACACATTGTCACAGCACATTCTTTAGCTTTCACACAACTTTTGGCATATTTAGTAGCCCATTTTTCCACCTAGAAGAATTTTGGCTGTGTTAAGGACTACTGATGATCTGAAGCCTCTCCTTACGGACTATCTTATTGTTGTTATTTATGGTACTGAGAGCAAGCAATCATAAAACACAATACAAGATTTGAACAACTCTCTTTTTTTTTAGATATCCATACTGTAAGTGTATATTTTCTTTTCTTTAAATGTTTGAACTATCAACCAGAGGGAATTCAACCAACAGACAACATATACCACCAGTCCTTGGGCTGCTTTTTATCAGTGAACAATGGGGTTGACCGTACATTATAACGCCCCCATGGTTGAAAGAACGAGCATGTTCGAAGCCTGGTTTAGATCTCGCTATCTGCAGAATTGCCAGTCGAGGGCCCTAATTTTCACGTAAATAAAATCATACACACGCATATCTCTCTCTCTCTATATATATATAATATGAAGTTGAAAATATACTGGTTTATATTTGAATTTTGATCTTAAATATATATATATATACATATATACTTGATCTGCTAGTGACAGATTAAGTAACCTTCAAGCTTCATCTTATTATGCATTAGTTTTGCCTGCATGCACTTAAAATTCTCTTTTCGTGGTCTTGCCTACTTGCCCTTTTATGGAACGGCCACATAACTTAACCAGTAACTGAATATGATAACATATATCATATGACAAGTCAAAATTGTAAATTTCAATTTGTAACCACAGGACAATCATATTAGCAATTTATGTGTAAGCATGTATTTTATTAGGTCGTCAAGAAATGAATGTCGAATTTTGGAGCACTTTCATTAACCACCCCTAAAAAACGTACATCACGTATAATAGTTAAACTAACCGCCTACACGTCACGTTAATATAGCCTATATAATGTGTAAAGTTTAGTATACTCTAATCCCTTATAGTGATGGCATACAACGAAACACACATTCGGCATGTAAGCCACAAAGAATATTAAAGAAGTTTATGGAAATGTTTTGAACGCTCGTAAGTGTCAACGATGGTTCAGCAAATTTCATTCAGGTGACTTTAG